TATACCGTCAGACACGTGTGTATGTTGGTATACCATTAGACCCGTGTGTATGGTTCTGGGTAACCATCAGACACGTGTGTATGTGGTATACCATTAGACCCGTGTGTATGGTGCTGAGTATATCGTCAGACACGTGTGTATGTTAGTATACCGTCAGACACGTGTGTATGGTGCTGGGTAACCATCAGACACGTGTGTATATTAGTATACCATTAGACCTGTGTGTATGGTGCTGGGTAACCATCAGACACGAGTGTATGTTGGTATACCATTAGACACGTGTGTATGTTGCCTGGGATACCATCAGACACGTGTTTATGTTGCTGGGTATATCGTCAGACACGTGTGTATGTTGGTATACCGTCAGAGGCTTGAGAGCATGGGTGGATTTAGAGGGTCCTCAACAATGCCTATATATTGAACCAACAATAGCTGTGTATCGTGCTCCAGCTAGAAACAATCTACTTAAGATCACAAAACTCTGCTATTCGTGAAATCACAATGTATATACATTCTTTCAACTGGCGGATGATCTGATATGCGAGTTTATATAAATCTGCAGCACCTTGTCAATTCCACAAAGGTGCATGTGACGGATTGTCCGTGGGAGGACTAGATAGGCCTTTTGTATACACATATGTACAAGTATTAGTGCATATCACTGAAATCGTTCAATAACTGTCTCAAGGCTCCCGACCACAACCATAAATATGTATCTGTTGTGGTGGGATTGTTATCAATAGGTAGGTCGGAGTGGCCAAGTAAGGACCACACAAAGGGACGTAGGCACCGCAACAATGAAGGTCTACCATTAAATACATGGAGTCCAGATCCACTAAACAGTCATATCTGCCTGGTACTTCAAACACAAAGCTGGTTAATGGAATATACATTAAACGGGAATGGTTACAAATTAGAAAAATCCATCTCACTTTCAGTTTGTCGTTTTCCAAAAGTGTCAATTTATAACGCATCCTAATGCCTCTAAAATCTAGCTCACGGTTTACAACCGCGTGTGTACGAAAGTGTCCAACTGAAAGTAACACTGTACATACGTAACACGGAAAACCTAAAAAGAAATATTCCTTGATACCACGATATTTTGACCATATTCAGAGAGACAGTTTACTGTCACTCAATATACAGTGTCATCTAACCAATGCGTATTACCAGCTCATGAACTGCCAACGTCGTAGGAATACTGTAATTAATGTAAACAAACTAATCGTGTTTTCACTCATAACAGGGAAAACATAAAAATGATTTATATATGCTATGAACTGATGATTATTCACAATTCAATTCAACACGAAATGCTACTCTCCTTATCCTGTTTGTATTCATAAGCCTATGAATGCCAGCTGAAAGCTGAACATCTCAACACTTCGACCAGGCCGTTTCCGTTTAGCTAGTACAAGACACTACCACTTAGTATAGGGCGGGTGGACCTGTAACAATGTAACACCAAGTAGCAAACTCGCTCAAATACTTTTCGGTGTTTACATCTTTGGTACCAAAACTGTAACAAATAAATTACCGGCAGGAAAACACCACTTGATGTAGACAGTAAATCGGTTGTAATACTGATGTAGACACTTAGTAGGCTGTAATATCTGTGATGATGTAGACACTTAGTATGATGTAATATCTGTGATGATGTAGACACTTAGTAGACTGTAATATCTGTGATGATGTAGACACTTAGTAGACTGTAATATCTGTGATGATGTAGACACTTAGTAGGCTGTAATATCTGTGATGATGTAAACACTTAGTAGGATGTAATATCTGTGATGATGTAGACACTTAGTAGACTGTAATGTCTGTGAGGATGTAGACACTTAGTAAGCTGTAATATCTGTGATGATGTAAACACTTAGTAGGCTGTAATGTCTGTGAGGATGTAGACACTTAGTAAGCTGTAATATCTGTGAGGATGTAGACACTTAGTAGACTGTAATGTCTGTGAGGATGTAGACACTTAGTAGACTGTAATGTCTGTGAGGATGTAGACACTTAGTAAGCTGTAATATCTGTGATGATGTAAACACTTAGTAGACTGTAATGTCTGTGAGGATGTAGACACTTAGTAAGCTGTAATATCTGTGAGGATGTGGACACTTAGTAAGCTGTAATGTCTGTGAAGATGTAGACATTAACTTAGCTGTAATAACTAAATCAGTATAGACACTAACTTGGCTGTAATGCCTGTCTTGTTGTAGACACGTAATCAGCTGTGATTCCTGTAGTGATGTAGGCTCAGCTATAATACTTGTATTGTTTTTTTACAAACCGCCGTATACCATGATTTTATCTCCAGGACAAGAAATTGCTTCATGAATAATAATGATAAGAGTTATCTGCTTTGCTTGTGAGAAATCCCATAAACTGCCAGCGATGTTTCTTAAATTAATAGAGTTGTCCCCTGAAGTTTATAAACTTTCACATTTCGTAATTAATTAATGTTGGACTGTCACGCTGCAACTTCAATTTGTCTCTTCAGAAGAACAAAAACAAAAGTAAGTGATCTCGCTATACATTTTCTCCTAACTGGTAAACCGCACACAATTATAGCAGTGAGGTGAATCGTGTCCTGAAGGGTAAAACGCAGTGATGCTATTAATTCATTGATTGATTGATTGATTGATTGATTGACAGGTTTTCCGTACCGTGACTCCTCCCTTCCGGATATCGGAACATCAGTGTTCTGGCAACGTGAGGGGGCGACATGCACCCCTTCAGGTACATATTGCCTTGACCAAAGGTCAAACGCAGAGACCCGCCACAGTCAAAGCATTGATGAGGATCTTGTCCCTATCAAGGATTAACTGCAAGGGCAATAGTTTTCTGTATATTGGCTCAACACAGTTATGATATTGAAAGCATAACGTTCACAGTGACCCGCGACAATCACAACATGGACGAGGATGAAACATGAAATAAGTTTATTGCGATGTAATGTGTTATAAATAAATACAATGTAATAATATTTACAGGCGTGTTTTACACGTGCGTGAGATATGGACCACATACATTTGGGGACAAAACGGTAATAATTCAAGGTGTGAAAATCGGCAATTTCTTATGACTTGCGCAGAAGTGAGAACGTTTTAATGAAATGTTCAGATAATAAGCTTGGCTCAACACGTGTGTCACAACTGAGTTTAATCGTCATTTAATATGACGTAGGAAGCCTATCATTGTAGACTAAGATCGGTGAATTTTGATTTTAAATTAATAATGATAAAAAAAATCCTCCCTCCTTGTCAGTACAAGTCACGAACAAAGAATTAAAAGTTTGATTTTGATTTTTAAAAAAGGCATCTACATCAGAATATATCAGACATGTTAGGAACATGTAAGGACATGATACCCGGATGGAACACCTGAAATTTAAACCTTATCAAAGAAAGTAGGTGAAAATTATTCATCTTGATCATCATGTATAAATAATTTTCTTTCGACATTACGGTACTGGTATTTACTAAACAGTTCATACATAAACAATTTGAATTTCAATATCGTTTGAAATTTTATATATTTCATTTCATTTACATGAGAAAAGCAGAAAGAACAATAGAGCAACGAAAACGATTTCGTCTGTAAAATGAAATAAAATGAAAACTGATCATAATATGTTATCATTTGACGGAGAAAAAACAAAGAAAAATTAGTAGACAGTCTATTTAGTTTGAGAAGTCCCATTGATATAGCACTGCCGTATAAAATACTATACACAATAAATAAATAAATAACTTTATATATCAACATTCTCAAACAAAATGCCTCGTGAGAAACACGGAATCATAAGATATTTTTACAAACATTTAGAGATCGATTCCAAATTAATCTGTAATCACTTTTCAGTAAATCTGGTGATATAACACAAAAAAAATGTCGCAAAGTGTTGAACAAGACACGTTAGATTGAAAAGTCATTGATATTCTGATGATATTACGGAAGTACACACAAAATGATGACGTGTACAGACATGTAATACATTAATGATGACATAATGTTCTTTGTAAGACAAATCGATAAAAACCGAAATAATGACCGGGTTCCGTGTATCATCCAATAAGAAAAGAATATGGTATTCTAAAATTCAAATGATTCTACTGTATTGGACTACAAGTGCTACACGTGAGAGCACGTGCTGTGAATAATTCAAAAACAAAATCAATCCACATTTATCCGTTTACGTAATTGTATACATACCAATAGCTAAATATGACAACTATAAGTCATACTTTTGTTTTGTTTTGTAAGGGTTTTCAAAATGTCATTCACAGATGAATTAACACAGCCCGAAGGGAATATTTGAAAAGTCATTGATAAGTTTAAACTTTTCATGAGCGATTGGTGTAGGGTGTCGCTTTATGTTCACGAGCTAAGTTCCCAAACTCCATAAGGAAGTCTCTAGACGCTTTGTAACACCCTCAAAAAGAACAGCAATCTCGGCGAACCGTGCTTGCTGCCGTTATCCATAACCAAATGTCATGTTATAAAAATGTGAAGTTACCTAAAAAATATATGTAGAAAAAAAGGTGTGAATATGATAGGACATTATATTGCTGCTAAGAACCGTTTCGACGAGCATGCGCATTACTCTCTGGCGAGGATATGACGGTAAAGTACATGTAACCCTTCCTAGAATGTGCCAGTTAGGTAGCCATGGTCACGTCATTTTCTGACAGGCTGTCGACAAACCTGCCATGACGTCATCAGTCAATGCTGTCCTAACACAGTTAGTAGTAAAGGTGTAGATTCTTGTCTCCAATATGGGCGGAATACGAATATTTCACAACGGCTCTGTTTCTCCTGTTGAGATGCGTAAATGTCCAGCACGGAATGTCAAACTCACGAGGTTCACACTTCACTTGTCATAACGTACCCAATATTTGTCACTACATTGTACGTTAATAGAACGGGCTGTTTAACAGTCACAAGTCGTTCTAACAACGTAACAACATTTCGGAACCGGACTCTTGATCAACATATCACTCCGCACAGAAATACGACGTCTGCATTGAATACAGTTTGTTAATATGATTGGTAACGCATCCATTTTTCATTCCATCCTGCGCGCCCTCCTGTGATTTTTGTTCCGGTGAGCCAGCTGAATCGTCCGAAGATGTCGGCATATCCATGAATATATTGGATCCGTCCACGACAGGAAACACGGCACCTGTAACAACAACACAAAAAAAAATTATCAACATTGTGTTTCCCTTGTCCCAGACCCGTGGGTCACAAGACAATCTACCATGCCATCAAATGTATCACAATTTTTATTATAAAGAAACTTTGATTGTCGTATATATATTGTTATGACACGAGTTTTTACCGTCGGTTTTATATAAAAACGTTCTTGAATTTAGATTCTCATTCCAAACGAATATTACCTTCCATGTCAGCGGAAAACATTTTTCTGTTCTCATCGCCCTCTTGGACCGGAAATCGATCTTGATCTATATCAGAGTTCTTCCCCTTCCGTTTCCGCTCTTTACTGCACGAGTCCGGGCTTTGTCGTCGTGACATTTTTTTCACCTGGTCAAGAAAGGTCAAAGGTTACCAAAGGTTACACTTGCCAAAAATTCAATAACAGTTTCAAATTGCACACACAGCTTATTTAGGGAATAATTGTTTTACATGTTTATTTAAAAAAAAAAGATATTTTGAATTCTACATGTCTACATGGATAGCCAACGTTGTCGTCAGGACATCATTGTAATATATTTAGTCTACAAAAGGCATTGTCACAAATGAATGAAAAAAAACAGACATTAAAATATATTGATAACGCCTGTTCTAACGACATCACTCATCACGTGGTCAAAACCAGAACACGATGTACCGAACAAAGTGTCAAATGTCCAGATTTCTGTCTACGGTATAACAGTAAAGGCACGACAACACGTCGATCTGCGGCTCGTGTACTTTAAACATTTCCCATCAACATGTGAAATGTTCGATGAATTATTCATGTTTCTTACAATTACAGGACAGCGTGAATACAAAATCGTAAGGTTCTAAATTTCCAAAACTAGACAGATGAAAAGGCGTATGTACTTCTCATTCATAAAATGTGATGACTATTTTATCATTACAGAAACTGTTATCTGGACGAATTAAGAAACTTGACAAGTTATTTTCGGGAAACAATGGTTACTTGTATAATATCATCTCTCCGTTTTTGTCTGCGGGACAGGCCATTGATATCGGTTGATGAAAGAGTGATTAATCTCCAAACTAGTAACCGTGTCGTCATGACAGGTGTGATATCAGCGGTACAGAAATCAATTAGATTTCATACATATTGATTATATACCATTGAAAAGTATAAGGAAAATCAAGAGAGAAGAAAAGTTTTAAATGTTTTGGCAGGGTAATAATGTCCCTCCTATACAATGGGCAATAGTTGACCAGGCGGCGCCGAACAGTGTCATGTGACAATTTCAAGGTCTGTGCTGTAATTGGGGTGTGGATTACAGCCATGCCTTGACCAAACGGGAAACACGAGACACCCGGGGTATTGTTCCAGTAGTGATACTCACCACGTAATAAGGCTGTGGTGAGACAGACATTTCTATAACTGTCCATACCCCATACAAACACTGAAAGGTGCGTATATATTACGTGAACGGGCGTGTAATTATCGTCTTTAATTATTTCAGGGTATGGGTACTGAAAAGGACGATTGTGTTGTTTTTTTTCGTAAATAGTCGTACTTTGTGTGCACACGAAACTCCAACACAGATCTATTCTTTGTGACTACTAATTCCCTCACAAGTCCAAATTGTCGTTATTGCCTTGTACTAAACTTCAGTAAGTGAAATTTGTCCATCGCCATCCTTCCTGTCGTACACACGACACAAGGACAGAGTCCACGTCCCGCTCTCTGTCCACTGGTCACTTTATTTCACTCTCTGTCATGTGGTCACTTTATTTCACTGTCTGTCATGTGGTTACTTTATTTCACTGTCTGTCATGTGGTTACATTATTTCACTCTCTGTCCTGTGGTCACTTTATTTCACCCTCTGTCCTGTGGTCACTTTATTTCACCCTCTGTCCTGTGGTCACTTAATTTCATTTTCTTTCTTGTGGTCACTTAATTTCACTTTCTTTCTTGTGGTCACTGTATTTTTCCATGATAACTTCTATACCTTAAATCATTTCGTTTCCCTTATGCTTTACCATCCCTGTCTGTCATTTAAACCTATGAAATGCGACTCGAAACATCTACATATTGTATACACGTATTACGTACTATGTATGTTCTTCCTGTACAATCGGCCTTTCCTCTACGTATATCACAACACAGTGGATACTCTTCCTGTACAATCGGTCTTTCCTCTACCGTACATCATGGTGAATACTCTTCCTGTACAATCGGTCTTTTCACTACGTATATCATAGCACAGTGTATACTCTTCCTGTACAATCGACCTTTCCTCTACGTATATCACAACACAGTGGATACTCTTCCTGTACAATCGGTCTTTCCTCTACCGTACATCATGGTGAATACTCTTCCTGTACAATCGACCTTTCTTCTACGTATATCATGGTGAATACTCTTCCTGTACAATCGGTCTTTCCTCTACCGTACATCATGGTGAATACTCTTCCTGTACAATCGACCTTTCCTCTACGTATATCACAGCACAGTGGATACTCTTCCTGTACAATCGACCTTTCCTCTACGTATATCACAACACAGTGGATACTCTTCCTGTACAATCGGCCTTTCCTCTACCGTACATCATGGTGAATACTCTTCCTGTACAATCGGTCTTTTCACTACGTATATCATAGCACAGTGGATACTCTTCCTGTACAATCGGTCTTTCCTCTACCGTACATCATGGTGAATACTCTTCCTGTACAATCGGTCTTTCCTCACAGTGGATACTCTTCCTGTACAATTGGTCTTTCCTCTACGTATATCACAACACAGTGGATACTCTTCCTGTACAATCGGTCTTTCCTCTACGTATATCACAACACAGTGGATACTCTTCCTGTACAATCGGTCTTTCCTCTACCGTACATCATGGTGAATACTCTTCCTGTACAATCGTTCTTTTCACTACGTATATCAAAGCACAGTGGATACTCTTCCTGTACAATTCGTCTTTCCTCTACGTATATCACAACACAGTGGATACTCTTCCTGTACAATCGGTCTTTCCTCTACCGTACATCATGGTGAATACTCTTCCTGTGCAATCGGTCTTTCCTCACAGTGGATACTCTTCCTGTAGTACAATTGGTCTTTCCTCTACGTATATCACAACACAGTGGATACTCTTCCTGTGCAATCGGTCTTTCCTCACAGTGGATACTCTTCCTGTAGTACAATTGGTCTTTCCTCTACGTATATCACAACACAATGGATACTCTTCCTGTACAATCGGTCTTTCCTCTACGTATATCACAACACAGTGGATACTCTTCCTGCACAATCGGTCTTTCCTCTACCGTACATCATTGTGAGTACTCTTCCTGCCAAATTGGTTTTTCCTCTATCATCCAGCACAGTGGAAGCTCTCACTGTCAAATGGATATTTCCTCTACTATGCACCACAGTGGATGTTCTTCCTGTCAAAGTGATCTTCTGTCGTACATTTCAGTGAAAGCTGTTCTAGTAAAAATGACCTTCCTCTGCTGTATATCACATTGAAATGCTCTTCCTGTTAAATTGATTTTTCCTCTATCTCCCATTTCATTCGACGTTCTTCTTGTGAAAACGTGATTGTACCTAACTTTGAAGTGACGTCACCAGTCTGGCCTTGTGAACAGACAATGCCGATATACCCCATGAGTTTGTTTCCCACTGGCCTATAATCCCCCATCCCAGCTATTGGTTTCCCAGACTGCCTGCTAACATTACGAAACCCAGCTAACTGTTCCCTCTGTATAAACGGGTTATGTTTGACTTACCTTAGCTCGCTGGTTCTGAAACCACACCTGAACAACCCTCACAGTAAGTCCAGCCTCAGCAGCTAGTTGTTCTCGTATCTACAGGAGAAAAAGTAACAAATCAGTAACTAAGTGGTGGGGTAAAGACTCGTGTGTTTGGTCTGATACGACCGTCTGTAGTATATACTTGAGCAGTAGTTGGAGACATAAAAATGTCCGTTTTATCGTGTACACCACGATCTACCCGTCTTAATGCGTCAAAATTACCTATCACCGAAACGCAGACCAATCTATCGGGTTGCTGGTTTGATACTTAATGAACCTTATGTTAATTAGAACGTATACAACGACCAGATGCGGGATCATTTTGATTATTGATGAATGTCGGGTAGAAATTTTCATGGAAAAATGCTCTGAAAGTCGGGAACCGTGCTACCCAATGGAAAATACAACAAACGAACAGTTTAGGATTTTGTAAGATCTTCTATCTTACTATCTGTGTCTCATTGTCAGCTTACGTTCAGCCTTTGTGTTGAGCGTTCAATAAAACAAACAAGGTTAAGTGTTCTGTTCCCAGACCGAGACAAATATCTTTAAAATTTGTCCTTTCCTTCTTGAAATGGTGAACTTTTTTTTATCCTATGTCACTCTTATGTTACAGGTTTTGAATGTCATGCTAGAGAGCCTATATTGTGACATTTTTGCGTGGTTGCAGAATACAGTATATAGCGTAAATGAGAGGCCCCGTTACCTGAGGAAACCGTCGCCATGTGTCCTAAGCTTTTCCGTGAACGTACAACCACACAATATTATTGTAATTTTGGGGACTATCCTACAGGAAATGGTGATCTAGGTAGACGCAGTCGTCTATGATACGTGTAACACCAGTTTAATGATTCTATTGGATAAAGCAGGGTTGTCGTGAAAACATACCGCTACATTGGAATATTGCCAGCGAATATCCTACAGAATATTACAGGCAGGAACCATTGCATCCTAATTCAGGAATACATTTTCAGAATGGTTGATTATGGCCATGAACTTCAGAGCTGCACTCCTGAACGGGTGGATAATATCTTTATGTTGGCTTTGTACGACAAATACACTTAAAACTTCGGGTAGATTTGTGTTGACCTTGAAACTGATTGACCTATACTTTCAGTACAACAATTTCTTAGGTTGTCTTAAACTTGCACGATACTCACCTTTCTACAAGGTTTTGGGTTAATCTCGAATGCGGCCTTGAACTTGCGACGTTGACTCGTCGTCAGTATCGTCCGTGGCCGCTTTGTATGTCTCTCATTGTCGGTATCCATGTCTTCATAACTATCGCTGTCGTCATCCATCGCATCTGGAAAGAGAAAGAGAGAAGAACAATTATATAACATGATATATGATATAGTATTAAGTAGTGAAACGAGTAGAAAATTACAGACATATTATAGATACCAGACAAATCGTATTATTAGTAATCTTGAACATTATGGGCTATAGAAAAATAATTATATAATGATAAATAAGCATAATTAACACTTTTTAAACATGCCATTAAGCATATTAGATTTCACGACATCCCCCCTCCCCCGACCACCACCACCACAACTGACATGATGGATGGCATCAGGGACTAAAATTAGCAGAACGATCAAGAGAACTTGTGATGTTAGTCATAAAACGTTTTCATAATTGTCCGTTATGGACCATAAAACATGATAATTAAAATTATTTTCATCGTTAAAGATGTTTGTTTGTATTACAGAATTATCTACCGACTACACAGATTCCACAAATTCAAACATCGAATCGGTATGCGCATGCTCTATTACAATATAAAATCAACATTGAGTCTGTCCTTCCTTCCAACCCCATCATAACGAGTCTTTAAAATTATGACATGGAATCTGTCCTTCTGTTCAACAACATCATCATGCGAGTTTTTATATGTATAACTTTGAGTCTGTCCTTCCTTCCAACCACATCATAACGAGTTTTTATAATTATAACTTTGAGTCTGTCCTTCTGTCCAACAACATCATAACGAGTTTTTATAATTATTACATGGAATCTGTCCTTCTGTCTTACAACATCATAACGAGTTTTTATAAATATTACATGGAATCTGTCCTTCTGTCCAACAACATCATAACGAGTTTTTATAATTATTACATGGAATCTGTCCTTCTGTCTTACAACATCATAACGAGTTTTTATAAATATTACATGGAATCTGTCCTTCTGTCCAACAACATCATAACGAGTTTTTATATGTATAACTTTGAGTCTGTCCTTCTGTCTTACAACATCATAACGAGTTTTTATAAATATTACATGGAATCTGTCCTTCTGTCCAACAACATCATAACGAGTTTTTATGATTATAATATTGAGTCTTCCTTCACTTTCTATATCATAATAAAATTATTCATTTTATAATCTTCGAACACTTTAAATGTTTTTATGAAGTATCGACATCAAGTCGCACTGTCATTGTATTTCTCTTTTACTGAAAAGTCTCGATAAATAAAAACATTGAACTATATGGCTATCCTTTCTTGTTGCAGGGAGTTTTGCTATTGTCTAGCTGTGTTCTCGTTCCCTGCATTTCTTGATAATACTTGTAGCATAACATGTCCCTTTTTACTACTTCAATTTCTTAATCTAAAAATCGATTATACTGTTTTTTTCTATTGGTTTCCTTTGTGACGTGCCAATTTAGGCATATATTGGATATGTCAGGGTTTAAACTATACAATACCTCCATCGATATCGGTTCTATTCACGTGAAACACCAAGACAATAGCAGAATATACACTTTCCAAGTGAAAAGAGAAAGTGCGTCTGTATGCCCGTTAATGCAGATTGGACAGCAACGCGACTTTCAGATGGTTAGGTCTGGGGTAAGTTTACTCTCTCATTAGAGCTTGTTCTGTAATACCGAGTGATGTCTATGACACCCAATCTTAGACATGAACATTATGAAGTGTTTTTCTATAAATATAAACTGTTTTCTGGTTTTTACTATGATGGATGTTGGGTTGGGTGATGGTGACAGCGCCGTAATACTGAACGGCTGGTCAGGGATCATACTGCAGTTCTCCAATATCACCATTTACAATTTCTGATGCAGAGAATGTCAACAGAGCTTCACAGTGTCGCTTTGTTTAAAAGGCTGATGTGGATGACGGTCTGCCCCTTTTACTGACGAGTAAGGGACTATTAAGTTACTGCTTTGTTTAAATGGTCCAGAATCTATACTGATCCACGGCTGGGACCAGGTAGAGTTACAGAACAGCTATTTGTCACTGCTGTAACAATGCTCTTTACCTGTATCATGGCACCTGTCGGGGGCCAGGTGAATCTCCCACACATCAGCGACCTAGCAAATACAGGTAAACTACAGGTAATTCAGCATAGTTTCATTAACCTATTATGTGCTTCATTGGAGCAGGGTGGTGTTTACCTGTGTGACATACCTGATGCTTTTACTCGACAACCTCCTTACGGAGCACCAAACACTGTACATAGTGTTTTGAGTTATTATATAAATTGCTGTCTATACAGTCGAAAAGTAGTAATATTTTCCCTCTGATACTTGATAAAAATATCTAACATATTTTTAACATAATGTATAAATCTGGTAATGGGGACAGAAAAAAAATAAAGTCTAATATCATTTAAGATTGGTGTAGCAAGGACAGATAATGATGTATTAACCAATGTATTGCTACATCAAATCAGTTTTATATACACGATGCTTAAAGCAATGATTTTATTCTACGATTCTACCACGATGGTTGCAGACAACATTAGAGGATATAAGGTGTTTTCGACGGCGCAATAATTATGAGTTTTAGAACGAATTTCATGAGGAAGTGTCATCTTTATTCAAATTTGAGTGTCAAATGTAAATGCCATATTTTTTTCCAAAACCTTATGGTTTTGTTGGAATTCGACAACGCCGATATCAGGATAGGAAGTTGAGAGGATAAGCAGTGGTTTCCCCAAGAGCGCAGTTAAGGAAACGGGGTCAATTGAATGACCTAAACACATATATGAATTATAAAATCCGTCATTGACGATGCAGAGTGGATCTTGGACTTGTCACCAATGATCATGAAATGTAAATTATAATGAAAAAACCCTGTCGTTAAGGTCCTACCGTGCAAAAGTGCTCGAAAAAGACACGAAAAGACACGAAAAATAATAATCTATATGCACTTTCACTCAAAATGAGCTTACGATATTCTAAACTTCTCATAATTTTGTGATCCGTTTCCGGCGTTATTTATCTATTTATAGACTTAAGTCTTAAAAGCGCGTGATATGGTACTTTAAAATCACCTTTTTTAATTGTTTCTATTTTATTTCTTGTATGTTGTACACTTGCAGAACATGGAGAATTATATGATTGTTTAAGTGAAAACTGACTCATTTAGAGCGTAATGAAATCACACGGTCAATGTATCTATCGGAATTGTAAACACTCGGAATCAACACTCTGTTTGGCAATATATTGATATTAAATTGTATGTTTAAAACAATTACTTGTAAGCTGAAGAGAACGAGCCTTATTTTTAAACGGTTTAGGACACAAAAGAACTCCGAAAATACAACATGTGACCATGCAGACAGGCGATGCTATAACTGTTTATTTTAATGTGTAAACATAATAATAATAATTAAAAAACCACAAAAAAACGATTTCGACTACAGGAAGTTAAACATCATCAAATGTAAATTAACATTCACAAGAACAAACTGCACATTATCAATGTTTTTACGGACTGTTTAAATAGTCTAACACCGTTTTAAGTGAACAACATGTGGGGAACGTGGAGACGTGGAGATAAGGGGTGTGCCCTGACAAATATGCCCTGTCTCTTCAAACGTCTGATCGGAAATAAGAAAAGCAACTCCTCTGACAAATATGCCCCGTCTCTTCAAACGTCTGATCGGAAATAAGAAAAGCAACTGCTCTGACAAATATGCCCCGTCTCTTCAAACGTCTGATCGGAAATAAGAAAAGCAACTGCTCTGACAAATATGCCCCGTCTCTTCAAACGTCTGATCGGAAATAAGAAAAGCAACTGCTCTGACAAATATGCCCCGTCTCTTCAAACGTCTGATCGGAAATAAGAAAAGCAACTGCTCTGACAAATATGCCCCGTCTCTTCAAACGTCTGATCGGAAATAAGAAAAGCAACTGCTCTGACAAATATGCCCCGTCTCTTCAAACGTCTGATCGGAAATAAGAAAAGCAACTGCTCTGACAAATATGCCCCGTCTCTTCAAACGTCTGATCGGAAATAAGAAAAGCAACTGCTCTGACAAATATGCCCCGTCTCTTCAAACGTCTGATCGGAAATAAGAAAAGCAACTGCTCTGACAAATATGCCCCGTCTCTTCAAACGTCTGATCGGAAATAAGAAAAGCAACTGCTCTGACAAATATGCCCCGTCTCTTCAAACGTCTGATCGGAAATAAGAAAAGCAACTGCTCTGACAAATATGCCCCGTCTCTTCAAACATCTGAACAGAAATTGGATCGAAAAAATGCGCTGCCTCGCCAACATTTTTGCCAGAAATAGGAAAATCAATTGTTCTGATAAGTATACCCAATATCGTCAACATCTGGATGGAAGTAGAAAACCGACTGCCCTGACAAGTATACTCTACATCATCCAGCTTCACCTGGTAGGGTATAAAATCACAGCTGTATTGAATGGCTGTGGGCAGGTGAAAACATATAGAGCACCACCGTAAAATTATATGCATTGTGTACATGGATATATGTCTATTAACACCGCTACCTACAAGCCAAGACCACCCAGCCACACCACAGCACGCAATGGAATAAGTTAATGAATGGAAAACTCTGTCGCAAGGTCGCATTGCTCTGCCGTATCAACTTTTCAGTATTGTTGCAAAGATGCTGAACAGGTGAAAATGAAACCTTTAAGTTCATTTACACAGGTGTAACAAAACCAAGAGTTCAATTTTCCAATCGATAAATTACTTTATATTTTCACAAAATATCCGAATCGATGACCAGTGCACCCGCTACAGTGTCACGGAGAACTGGCAGTCGTAGAGATGTGAGATCGACGGATAGGGGCCCGCCTACCTGTACGGGGCCAGGATCAAGGCTATGAATGGGTTTGTACCTGTATAACTATAGGTAACATGTAATCTATACCGATGTTAGAACATGGTGACATGCAACATATGGCAGTGACATGTCTGTATAAGGCATATCATACGCTATATTGTTCATTTGTTTAATATTGGCAGATCGGGGTTCGAATCCATAACTTATCTAAATTGTACCATAGTCAATAAATTGTTCTCATGACACCACCCCAAAAAATTGCTTAAAGTTGGCATGAACAAACGATTTCCTGTTTTATATATTAGCCCGATAATCTCAACAAGGATATAACCAGTTAGTTATTTTACGCTCAACAAAAATGTCGTTTCGTTTGTGATGCCAAAGGATGCTTACATGCTCAAAGACAACTGAAAAAACAGCCATGTTTCCTGTCTCTGTCCTAAACTATCCTAGCTGGCTAGGTAACCGAGAGCTGCATTTTTATTTTTACATACATATGTAATAATGCTGTTTATTAATGTCCCTTCTAACAAAAAGCATGTAGGTATACAATTTTCATATTTTTCAAAACTTAACAGCACTTGGCTTACCCATATTTTACTTAAATGGTCACTTTTGTGGGAGAGAAATTCCACGACGATGTGATTGTCATAAATTCGATGTTCCTATTAACATTACACGTTCCATGTCTTAGTTTTAATGGCAGTTGACCCGCTGACCCTGCGCACATTATCCACTCAGAAGAGCCATTCTGGACATGCCGACTTGTGATTAGCATATCATTTGCAAACTAAATGTGGTAATATTTGGCACACTGAGAGGATTTATGTTAAGGCGTCCGTCCCAGCCAAACGCAAATATAACGTTATCATACAAATGGCTCTGTTAGGACCAAGAGCCAATGCCATCAGTGTAAATCGAGCAAAGCTGTCTCCCTGCGGTAGGGGGCATTGTGTGGTCTATCTTTACGCATGCGCCAGAGGGCAATTTGTTTTCAAGCATTATATAATGATAGCTCATTTGGTCAGATTTATGAATGTCACACACAGTGACAAAACATACATTTTAATTTTGTTCATAGGTTAACAATGTGAAGGCCTAGTAATTTACACGTATGCCGGTGTCAACAGAATATTTACAATCATATCCATGTATGTTTAATGTCTGCTACCGGTTAACCCGTGGAGGCCTCCATCTGTAGGTGTGGTCACTGTGAACCCGTGGAGAGCCTCAATCATTAGGTGTGGTAAATGTAAACCCTAAAAATGCCCCCTTCATTAGGCTCGATATGACACGTGACTTGGCATGCCCTATTCGTTAACCCAGACATTTGTAGGAGGTGTGGCATATTAATAAAAGGCGTGGTTAAACAAATATGTCATTTAAATTTAAATTCTGAACTAATCTTTCATTTTTAGGTTAAGACAAACTCATGAATCCTCCAATATTCGTCCTATTTTTATATAAAGGACATAAGATGACAAACTTTATTATTATAAATTCATTTATGAATTCGTATGAGTTTAAGAATTTCTTAAAGAGTCCGTTTCATGCACATTAGTTTCTAATGCGTTTTTATCTTTTGGAGAACGTTCGCACTTCGACGATAAAATGTTGAACATGTTTTGATATTTGACTCATGTTATTTGCAACTTGATATTTTCCCCTTGAAAACTGTCTTGGTTACAAGAGAATTATGATAAAAATACCGAAGTGTCATCAGAACACGAGTCCAATCTCAAATCCCATGAAACTTCTGAAAAGTACAAGGAAAAGACCAGGTGTTCCGCGAGGACAAGTCTTCTGCCTCATAGACGACACCCGCCATGGTAATCGTGGTCAATCCAAGTAAGTAATGCCACGTGCCCAAAATGAGAACAAGGTAAACACGTCCAACTTCCTATCGCACAAAGAAACAGAATATTATGACGACTGTTAAACTTCCTTAATTGATACTTAAAAACAGGAGTGATGACTACTACCAGTTTACTCACCTTTAGGACTGTATGATAGGACACTGAACTCTTTGTCGAAGTCAAATCGACAGAAGAGCTGACCATCTTTGATGACGAATTGGTCCCCTCGTTGTAAGATCTGTCGACATTCTATACACCGAAAGCAGTGGAGGTGGTATACGCTGCCTAACGCCTTCATTACCAACTCCTCCGATGAGATGTTGTAGCCACACCCATTACAGCGCCCCCGGAACAGCCTGGAAAGAAAAAAAGATATGCCCTGTAGAGAAAATATATCATTATATATCGATGGTTTGGATGAGGTAGAGAATAAAGACTAGTGTGTGAACCTATCGGTAAAAAGTTATAACAGCACGTTACGCGATATTGGTGAACTTGCTTTTGGTTACGGAAGTTTCGTATGGAATACATGAAAACCCAGTTGGGTGTGCGGGTATAAAGGTCTCAACACTATCTATTACATTTTCACCTGGAAAATAAAATATCACATTGATAATTGTTTTATTTTTCAATACATTAAAACAATTCTTACTTTTCATTGTGTAAAATAACTCTTTATGAAAACAGAACACAATTCATCTTGTAAAACTGACTAATCAAAACCCTTGATACAAAATTACAAAAAAAAAAAAAAAAAAATGAAAGAACATGGTATCTTACACTATTTTTAATGAGAAACGTATCTCGCTCTTGTGGCTAATAATTTACGATTTTTAATCGCGCTGCGCACTCGTGCAATATACTGAACTATTAGCCACACTCTTGAAATATATTTGGTATCACTGAAGACAATGTTAAATGTCCTCTATATATAGACGTCAGTATTTGAAGATGTCTGTTAAGAGTAACTATCTATATTCTCTGTAAGACAGTGCAAGATCACCGTTCGAGGAACCTTTCGACCGTCCTCTGCGCCCTTCCGTCCTCCGCGCTACACCGATTTGCGGACAATGCCGATCACACCCGAGATAGGAGGCGCTAAAACAAAGGGTGGATGATCTATGCTAATCAAGTGATCAGGAATGTCCTGTCGATCGACCGATAATCTGCCTGATCTAGTGCCAATGATCCGGTAAAACGGCTTTGGTAAGCTCTCACGACCAGAAGGTTGTGTAGGTCATTACGGTAAATAGTTATTCACACAGGGAAACTGGCAGTTTCTCTAAAATGGCGTTTAGGTAAAATGAATATCTACGTCAATAAAAAATATATTGCGATGTTGCATCCGGGTAAAACACACCTTTAGCCAATCATCATTACTTCTAGACTATACTTATGTACTCAGGAATATGTTAGGTTATACCGGGGAGTCTAGTTATTGAAAGGAAAGTTCGCGATCTAGATTTACAAGTTACTATTGAACATTGTTCCCGGGTAGCTTTCAGAGTTACTGAAGAACAGAGGTTAGGGGATTAAATTTAAGACATTCTATAGATTAATAGAGATGTAGGGACAACCACGTTTGTTGATTTTCAAGTTGGAACATTTGGATATTGTTTGTCGTGTACAAACGGAGGGTTTTGTGGGTAAGGATAACGACACATCCTCCTACCACTGTACACCCAAACCGGACCTGTCATGCCAGCCTCGTTCTGGTGACAGCTTGTTTGTATTCACTGCGGAGCACATTCCTCCATGCTGTTTTATGAAAACCGCCATGTTGACAGGGGCGGGGTAAAACCTCTATTGGTATTCATAGTCGAATCGAATGTCAATATAAGCTAGCACAGGTGAACAAAACGTAGGGCAAAAATAAATTATTGTCGAAAAATTAAGTACAATATGGATTTGTTTGAATGAAGAATAGACCATTATGATAGAGGAGGAGAACGTCATTGTGTCATTGCGCATGCTCAAAACTACAGTAAATAGAGCCGTTGAATACAAGTGTCTGTCTCGTGTACAAGTACATATATGTAGAACTATTCTGAAAAGTAGAGATAGTGAACAACAGACAGGACAAAGTCTTCATTTCTTTTATGTGCGATTGGAGATGGGACGGAAGGTATACTGTATTGAAAACACAACAGATATAATACGAGCCACGACTTTATGCACTGACATAGCGGGGAAATGGAAGCCTCCTTCTGTTTTTAAGGCATGTCATATACATAATAGGAAGTTGACAGCAGAGTTTCCACCCCTCCCTCTCCCAGCGGGGTGGGAGATAAGTGTTGATTTTCTCCTCGACAGGTCAACTCCTGGGGCAGTGATCGTGTACACTAAAGTTCACTACTTCAGTTGAGTAACAATATATACATAAAAACCGATCCGGATAAAACCGTTTAATTTATTATGCAATAAATGTAAGTTCAACAGGTTTTATAACGGGGTACTTTTTGGTAGGGTTCGGTGATTGAGTTCCGACATGGGTACTCCACCCTGCACCTGAGTGTAACACCTTGTCCAAATTTCATGGTACTTGTGTTTTTATTTCAATACCGATAGTTTTACTGTATACTTCTATCTGCAGTGTGACATGTCTCATAATAGACTTGATGTATATACTGTCATGTTTTGACACAATACAACAATAAACGATAATCTATATTCAGGTTTTGTTTGATGTAGATAAAAACATTAAAAAAAATCCAAGTGCTTCATCGTCTGTCAGTTTCTAGCAAATTTTCGATATCACTTCAAAAACAACTTTCACCTTGTATCGAATTCGGATGACTTCGGGGTTTTTTAATGGCAGATGTGTTAAAACATTTTTTTATTAAAGATATATGTATACATATATTATATCCTAAATTGAACATTAATAATAAGAATGTGTCTTTTTGACAAATTTAATATTTTATACCACACACGATTTGATGTTTTATATGTAACAGACATAGGGACTCGGACCACTTTGAAGTCCTTATCTTCTGCATATCTCGGGTAGTGACAACAGGCACTTTATATCTCAAAGGACCATCTCACACATTATAGTGAACGGCTCACACCCGGAATACAAAAGTCACGTTTTAGATGTGTAACCCTTCTAACGGCCATACAGCGTCTGAATTGTCACATTTTCATGCATCAACGTACAAAAATTAGAAAGGCTTTTCTTGCTAACGATGTAAGGTCAATGGCTGTAGCTGGAGGGGTATATTCAGGTAGTGGGTATCAAGCTCACTCAATTCATCTCTACAAGGGGGAATATGTGAAAATTAAACAAGTCTGTTGTATCGATATGATAAAAATAGCTAAAGGATAAAGACTGTCATACAATTCAAAGCCAAACAAAAAATGTAAAAAAAAAAAAAAAAAAACCACACACACACACACACACACAAACACACACACACACCAAACAAATAAACAAACTTGACAATATGAAACATGATACCCCATTTCGATAATCTTTGCAGTGAACAAGGCGGAGAGCTGACTAACTTTGGTAGTTATAACGGAAACTCACACACCGTCCTTATGACGTTTTCTACTCACTTATCGTAGTCCTGTTTACAGTAAAGTTGCTGGTCCTTGACAAAGCACGATCCAGAGAGAGGAAGTCGACATATGGCGCAAAGTAGACACGTTTCGTGCCAAAAATGATCCTGAACCTTCAGTAAAAATCTGTCCTCTATCGGGTGTTGACATCCTGCACACTGTTCCATGTCTAAGGTCGGCATTGCACCTGTCAAGAAAGCAAAGCCGTTAGTATTGGTTCTAAACGAATTGTTCTGATATACAGCTTAACTATGTAACACAGCATATATCTATATAATGTCTTGAAGAAACCATAGCATGACCAAAGTGTGACGAAATCGGTATTTCGGTTCATTGACTCCTAATTAATCTATTGTGACATTGTGTCGTCTTAAAAATTTATTCCAAGGCCAACTATAGTATCTGCAACTCTTACCTACCGAACATTTCGTGGGCTGGGATATCACAGCTCTACCTACCGAACATTTCATGGGCTGGGATATCACAATTCTACCTACCGAACATTTCATGGGCTGGAATATCACAACTCTACCATCCGAACATTTCGTGGGCTGGGATATCACAATTCTACCTACCGAACATTTCGTGGGCTGGGATATCACAACTCTTACCTACCGAACATTTCGTGGGCTGGGATGTCACAACTCTACCTACCGAACATTTCGTGGGCTGGTATATCACAGCTCTACCTACCGAACATTTCGTGGGCTGGTATATCACAACTCTACCTACCGAACATTTCGTGGGCTGGGATATCACAACTCTTACCTACCGAACAATTCGTGAAATCACGGGATGATGTCACATCGCTATACCGAAACAAGTACTCTGTTCGCGATTATAACTGTCATATGTGTTGGTACCAGCGTGAGTGAAAAATAACGCATTGATGAGGCATAATTGAAAACCTGTTAACTTTAACTATCGGTACACTTGGGGAGGCAATACAGTAAAACAGAGATATAGTTGATACGTATGGTAGAGACAGTTATGTTTGTCACCACAGACTTGTGTGAATACCCTAAAAGTACAAAGCGACATAGTACACGCACCATTATATACTCTCAAACCGTGCTACTTCTCAAAAAATAATACACACAGTTAAAGAAAGTAAGTCTGTCGCCACACTGTATTGTACCGTTGACAAAGGGCGATTCCCTGACCAATAAAGCCGCTCGCGACACACAGACAAAGCCCGTAATTAGACAACCCATTTTGTTTAAGTACCCCTCTTGTTAAATTGTCCCTGTTTTTGTTTTCCGAAGATTCGCACATTTAAAGCGCCTTGTCTATGGATTTCCTTTATCAGAGAATCTGCCTTGGTTGCGAGTAATCAGCGTCGTTTTAATTGTTGTACAGTTTAGTGGCACACTCGCGATACAGCTGATAAAATGGTGGAACTATAAGAACGGTATATAGTGAAAGGTAATCAACATGTCAGCATACATTTCACGCCAATTATCTCGCGTTCACGTGATCACTTTAAATTTTGAATCGTTAGGAAAATCAGAAGGTCGATATTGTACTACACATTCCACTGCATTAAGTCTCATTAGCTACCAATACAACATTTCGATGCGATTTTTCCTAGTTATTGTAAGTAAAACTGAATTTGTATACTCTTGTTTTTTTCAACACGATCACCATGACACAACAAAAAAAAACAAACTTTTTTACAACAAAAAATTTATCCTACGTGTGACAATCTGTTGATGCCCAAGGATCCGATTCTACATTTTTAGTAATCCCTGTGTCACTTTACCTGTCGTTCATTGAATTAATTACATTTTCTAATATTAAATATATTGACGTGTGACGGGTGTTCTTCCATATCTTCGATATTTTTCTGTATGTATAGAAATTACATAGGAGAGTAAACTTGAGTTTATGCGTGTAATATTGATGGATATTTGGCTTAAGTAACGTTGGAATTGAATAGCATAACAAAAACTACAAAATCCAGGTCTACCCGAAAGCTTATATTAGTCCATCACGCTCCAATAACACAGCATTCGTTGATGAATATACAATACATGTCAGATGATTTGTTTTAACATCAGAACATGTGCGTGTTAGTGGTGATTATTCCGCTTCCGTCATTACACACGTAAACAGATACATATCGAAGTGACATGAGATCTGCCTGGCACCTCGTACCTGTTCGGTGCTCTGTAACACATGTTCATGAGTATTTATTTATGCAAATTAACTAGTCTGTCAGTCTGAACCAAAAAAATACGTTCATCAATAAATCACAAGTCTATATTATGTTTTGAGAAATATGTTTTAAATTCCACTTTCTAAATTCAATCAGCGTAAAAACTTTCAGTGATAGAGACAATACACATGAAATGTTTTCTGCAGCGGTTTGGTCGATGGGGATACTGGCGCGGTGTCCTCGATCTGAAAAGAGGAAAAGTTACACCGGATTTCCAGCTGTATGACTTTGTCAACAACAAGTTCTTCTCGAGGTAATAATGGAGGTTTGATCTAATATGTTCAATGACGGATTTGCCAAACTATGCCACTGAGAATTTTCTTAACATGTCAAAAACATTTTCCTGATGTAACCAAAACCAACTTTACTACAGACAACGATCGCTGTTGTAATATACCTATCACTCGATGTTTCATTGCCATTGACGGCTTTGTAGTTTATGAATGGTATATTTTTTTAGGTATTGTAAATAAAATTCAAATGAAATTGCTAACAACACTTAATATAACAAACAATGGCAAAACTATTTGTTGCTGTCTATAAAAATCATATGATATCCACATAGACGAAACAAGACTATTTTTCGCTCTTTCAAATGTCAGCAATTGCTGTGTCGTTCCTATCACAATTTCAGAGATTTCAAGAGCCTGCTTTACACCTCGTCAGGTGTATGAAATTTTGCTGGTTTTACTGAATTATGGAGCTGGTACTCCTCCCTGTCTATATTTTAACATTGTTTCATCAATTTGGTTTCCTCCAGTCACCGCTTCGGTTTGAAAATTATGACACCTAGCATCGCAGACAAGTCCACGAAGGACAAACAATTATACGATACAGTTTCAATCAGTATTTTGCTCTGTCTTATTCTAACTTGTATTGTACGATTCATTTTTGTCTTCCGTACAATCTTTGTCGACCCCCTACTATGACAGCCCTGGGACTAGCGATGTTTGTTTGTCCCCTACCAACAATGACAGCCCTGGGACTAGCGATGTTTGTTTGTCCCCTACTAACAATGACAGCTTTGGGACTAGCGATGTTTGTTTGTCCCCTTCTAATAATGACAGCCCTGGGACTAAAGATGTTTGTTTGTCCCCTACTAACAATGACAGCCCTAGGACTAGCGATGTGTGTTTGTCCCCTATTAACAATGACAGCCCTGGGACTAAAGATGTTTGTTTGCCCCCTATTAACAATGACAGCCCTGGGACTAGCGATGCTTATTGTCCCCTACCGACAATGACAGTCTGGGACTAACGATGTTTGTTTTCCACACAACACAATGACAGCCCAGGGACTAGCGATGTTTGTTTGTTCACTCCCCACAATGGCAGCCCTGGGACTAGCGTTGTTTGTTTTTCCACTCCACACAATGACAACCCTGGGACTAGCGATGTTTCTCAGTCCCCTACCGACAATGACAGCCCTGGCACTATAGGTGTTTATTTGTCGACTCCCAACTATGACAGCCCTTGTACGACCGATGACAATTAAGCCTTATCCTGCCTGTGACGGCTCAACACTTGCTCGATGACAGCCCTTTGTTTGGTGTGCGGGTATCGCTAACATAGAAAGTATGATCACGTCTCTATGATCAGCAGGTATTACAAAACCTGCCCCTTTAATGCAACACACAACAGGCTTTTAAATGCCTGATCACGGATTCACTCCTTGCACACCGATTCAGGAATGGGGAGAAGTGGAATGTAGAAGGGGGAGGGGATGGGGATCTAACAATGGGGAGAGAGTTTACATTTGGAAACCCACCTTTGATCAAGAACCGTGTATTTTGATGGTTTTAATCTTGGGTCATTAGGACTCTTGGTTTATAGACAGTTTTTCAAGCGTTTACAAAACGACCCAGAGAACATACGTTCATGCTCATAAAACCCAAAGACGCAGTACTGTATCTTCTGTTCCTCAACTACCGTTTAATTCTCGCTAAACACTCACACCTGCAGTGCGCACGCGTGAAAATTCACACGAACTTATTCAACTGTATCATTGCGCTTTGGTGTGAAATGGACTTCGTTTTATGGCATGGGTTTATATCTCTATAGCTCCTGTACCAATAGCTAGACATATGAAAGAGACATTACGCCTTACAAAAGAGCTCATGGATCTGCACATCCATTCGGTCACGGCCGCTACACGACGCTGGCGTTTGCTTAATTTACTCAACTTGTTTGTCCCTGAAACTGACTTCAAAAACAAGTCAGGTATTCTCTCTGATTAGAATTTCGATTGTTGCTGAACGAAACAAGTCCCAAGTATGAACTGGCTCTTAAACCCGTTTCTGGAGACGAAACGTTACATTTAAAAATAGCTATTCTATGTAATAGCTTATCTTAGACAAGACAATCCAATTTTTTAATGTAATGCCAAATCAAATCATCGAATATATTTGATATTTCGACTGAAATGTCAAATCATGAGAATTTATAAAAAAAGTACCTTTTACAGAGGAAGTAATTTTCTATGTAATCTAACAAATTCTTGTAATTCTGATTTATAAAGTTTCAGTATGATGATAAATACCCAACACATTACATTCTAAAACATTATATGATACCTTTTATATCCTATTTTGTGCTATAATTGCCTTATATACCTAATGTACATTCAAATTTGAAGAAAGAAAATTTCGTCTCCAACTTTAACTGTATAATTAGTGCTAGTTTTAGAAGCACTGAATGTCAGCATAAATGTCGAGAAAACTTCAACATGTTTTTAAATATAACAGACTGAATAATCAAGCCGAAACAGTGGAGTTGTTAAGTCATAATTTGATGATTTTAGAACTGTGTTTTGAAAATTATATCCATTGTATGTTAAATTATACAAATGTGTTAATAGGATGAAAGCCGCAAGTTGACGAGCGGAAATGATGGCTATGATGTTGTCGTGACGGGGGTGTCACAAACGGGGGGTGCAGTGCTAATGAAGTGCATACAGCCGTACATA